CCACGTCACCCCTTTTCATAATTTCCGCCTACGTTTCCTATCGCACCAGGTCAAATCTTTGATTAGGACTTCACTGGACCTAATTCAAGTGAAGTTTTTTAAAATTTTGTCAAAATACAGGAAAGATCCGTCCGCAAGGACGATGGACGCTGCCGTCGAGTCTGACACCATCACGTACCGTGTGTGCATATACGTATGTCAAATATGCATATGTGGATATACATATGTATTGTATATGCATCGAACGAGCTAAAACGCCTCGATGGACTTTAACGTGCCATATCACGTGTACGTGTTTATTTTAACGGGGTAAACGAACGGAGGATTTGAAAGGACTTGTAAACTCGTTCCGTCACTTTAATCCACTGACTGCTGTAGTTTCACTTTGACGAAATCCCATTGGCTGCATGAGGGCTCTCAGATTAGTCGAGTAACGAAGATACTGGGTGAAATTTTTAAAAAGGCTGTCAGACTCGTCTGCACGTAATATATATAGTGTATATATATACTATAGCTTATATCATATATCTAAACACGTAGCATCCACCTTCTATACGAATTGGGGATATCAATCACGAATGATTGACACAAACTTAAACGAGAGACGGGATTAATATTTGTTTACGCGCAGGGAATACAGAAAGAATTTCCAAGTAATATTTACAGAGTGACTTGGAAGAATCTCAAGTTACATGTACATATATATATATGGAAATAAAAGAAATCCAAGAGAAATCTCAGGCAATATAGCGAATACCCAATGAGGATCTTTAATACTGGCGTCTGAATATATTTTTTCTTTTTTTTTTTTTTAAAAAAAAAAAAAGATTCTTTGATACACAATCTAATCGATTTTCCATAATTAATAATTGCCTCGCTCGCGCGACGGTCGCACGCCGTGCAGCTTTCATTCAAGGAAGCCGCGTACTATAATTAAAGCCGAAGGGATCGATCGGTACTTGAATGAAATCCAATGGAATTATTCGAGACGGATAAGAGAGAAGTCACGATCGTTACGGACGTAAGACGTGCTAACGAGCCCTCGAAAGTTCTTTCGTCATATCGGAATAATAATTCCATTGAATAACGTGTATTTTGATATCCCAAGTATTTCCGCGCGGGCCGTCAAATCTTTTGCGGATAATTTATCAGGGAAGGCGAAGGTAGAAGATGAAAAAAAAAGGACCGGATTTCAGCCATGGATACCCAGGGCGGATATTGTTTTCACGCGGAATGACTGATCGAGCTTTAATGACCAATCATTGAATACTATGTGTATATACAGATATAGTTACCCGCCAAAACTCTACTATCCGTATGACTGTGTTCGAAAGAGAGATAAGGGCAAGGATAATAACAACAATCACTTCGTGTTCCTTTGGGAGCTGCCGAAAGAAATGTGATTGAGGAAAGAAAAGTCAATTTTCCAAAGTGACAAGAAATTTGGTAAATTAGCGTTAAGAAAAAAAAAAAAGAACTTGCACGCGCGACCACTTATCGATTCTTTGGAGAGTGTGAAGAGAAAAACAAATTCCCCCCCAAAAAAAAAAATTGACTATTTTTTGGTATTTCGAAAATGAGGTCTCTCTACCTTAATGAAAATGTTGCGCCGGAGTAGCGAGAGCATCGAGCGTGGCTCGTCTCAATTTTCACCACCTTCTTCTCCGTGTTGCTCGTCGAGCTTGCAGATGGCGACTGAGGCTGTTGGTATCTCAGTGAGTAAAGCTCAGGGTGAGAGAACGGAGTGAGCAGCTCGAAGGAGGGTTGGTGGTTAAGGGTTGGAAATGGAGGCTGCGACGTGGATTGGGAGGCACGTGAGGTCGACGAGTGAGTAGCGTACTGAACTCTGCTGAACCAAACGGAGTTAGAGTGCTGGGGTAAGTTTGTGCTGGCGGGGCGACGGGGGTAGGCATCAGGAGTTTAGGGGTGGTAAATCCGTAATATATATATATATATATATATATAGAGAGAGAGAGAGAGGGGAATATAGAGGGTCCAGAGTAAGTATAGCGATAGGGTAGGATGAAGGGATGCTAGACGGGAGAACAGTCTGGCTCAAGGGTGGGGGTACTCTCCCCGGCCGAGAGGATAGAAGGGGGTAGGTGAATTTCCTCCCACAATGTCCTCCCCCCCTCTGGCTCTCAAATAGGGGTGGTCCAGAGAGAGAGAGGGAGAGAGGGAGAGAGAGAGAGAGAGAGAGAGAGAGAGAGAGAGAGAGAGAGAGAGAGACGACAGGCGGAGTCAGAGTGGAAAAGGTACTAGCAGCATCCTTTCAGATCGATTTACTGACAGTGGCGCGCGCATCACTATCTCCTCTATGCGGTTACAAGCTCACCGTTCGACTTGCGGCCAGCCGAAGGTGCAACGACAACACATTCCCCTTCTGCAAGACTATGGGGAACCTGATGAACAGTCCTTCCTCTTTGACGAGCAACATTTTTGAGGACTCGAATTATTTGGGTCAACTTTTGTTTTCTTTTCTTTTTTTTTAATCTGATGCCCCGCGGTACACTTCTACCGTTCTCGATTCGTTTCTGGTGAAAGGGATCATTTCTTTTTTTTTTTCAAATTTTTCATCCCTCTTGTCACACCTTCGAATACAACGAACCTTCCAGACTGCATTCGCGAAAGCTCTCATCGATCCACTTGGGATTCTGCTTTTTAATTCCCTTGAACCCTCTTATGAGTCTCGTAGTCTACTTTTTTTTTCTCAACTATTTTTTTCCACCCCTCTGCTGTATCTGCAATGTGTTTCCACCCTTGATCCTTTAGTCTCTCGGATACGCTTAGCGGTTATGTCACGTAATTTAACCAATCGTAATCAGCAGTTCAACTACTTTTGGTACCTTTGGGTCAAACGGGTGTCACGACATGTAATTCCTGTTTGTGTTTCAATGGTAGGATCCTGTCAAAGGCTTTCTCGTTCAATTACTCCTGACAATGACGTCGACACTGTGTATCTATACCTGGCTCTCTCTGTCGAAACTAGCCACTGACATGGGAAGTTTACGCAACTTCAGTACCATAACTTTCCTAGTGGTTTGTCATTATCGTTATCAATGTTATCATTGTCGGACAAGCTGGAAACGTATTGCGGAAATTCATAAACATTTTTTTGAAAAGATTATATATATATATTTTATCTGTTTTTTTTTTTATGTATTTTCGAATGCACGTATTTTGAGTTTGGGTGGAAAAATTTTTTTTGGACTTCGTACACGCGTATCTTTATTAATAAAAATTTACGTTTGCTCCAAATGACCGTCATGCCTCTGTCTAATGTAAAAACGATTTATGACCGCGGCGTTCTCAAGGGGTGGAATTATCACCAGCATGGCCGGTAGGTATGGTTCGCGCAAATAAATCGTCACGTCATTGTTTAAAGGCAAAAACCACCCGGCAACTTTCCCATCCGAAATAAACGTGCGGGTCCCTCACTTTTACTCCCTTACTTATTCCCACTTGGCATCAGGGGCACTTCCTGTATTTGATAACAGTGCGTGCCGTACGACCTTTTCGGCCGTTCCCCCCCAAAAATTCACCCTATCGTCGTTTCAACTTATCTTTTGTAATTACCACTTTTTCGGGATAATACGCCTCGTTTAATTTACGCTCGCGACGCCGTGTTTTAATTTTATGGTAAATTTATTAAAATTGTCAACATCAACAATTGCCTTTGCTATGGTGTCCGCTTGGTTGAGCTCTGTCGGATTTATATTTTATTACCTAATTTTGGATTTGGTCAAGCTTGGATGGGGTGGGTGGGACTGCCCCCCCTCCTCCCCCACGTCAATCTGGGATACCGTGTAGAGCAAGTCCATTGAACGGATATTAAAAATGAATTGTTGATGCGTGGGATAAATCTTGGTACGTTAATGTACCATCTAGGGATTTTTATGCCCCTAGGGAATTTATAATGAACGTGCTGTACTTCTTAGTGGAACGACACCGCCCCAGACGATGGAGAGTTCGAGTGATGGAAATCGATGAGCTTGTATTAATTATAACAACGGCGAAGGGTGCTTATGCGTTTTTTTTTTTTTTTTTTTTTTTTTTTTTTTTTTTTTTTTTTTTTTTTTTTTTTATAAATTCAAGGAGAGGTGTTTTTCGTGCGCTCGTGGTAGTTCGTAGTTCAGCCAGGTAGCCGTTTCGTGTACCGTGTGTCATCGAGCGAAAGAATGGAATAGGTAATTTTTTAATGTATACGCATTGACAAAGACCCGGGGAATCCCCGGTTTATATCACGCGAAACTTTTTATTTCAGACTCGGCTGTTTTGCTTCGAACGTTTTTAATGAAATATATGAAATACGACCGGGCAATTCCCCCCCCCGCCGCCCCCCTTTACTGCAATACGATATCAGAAGGAATTAATTTGGAATTTTTGGCGGTACCAGAAAAAATTCTGATAACCAGTTTAACTATTTGTTATACGGTAAATAACGAGGTTTACTCTATATTTTCATCTTAAGAACGTCGCTCGGCTAAAAATTAGACTGGTAATTTAATGTGTATCGGAGGGACTCAAATTTGAATATACATATACAGTATATCAAACGTATAGTCCCTAGATAATATTATTTCATGATAACTGAAGTTTGTTTTACATATATCCTTTATTTCGTTATATTTATTATTTAAATAAATGTTGGGAGATTCTTGGTAAAAAAAAAGAGTTACGAAGCCATCATTTTCTTTTGACCCTATCAGGTCATCGTGTTTCTTGGATAATTTTGATATTATTAACCCCAGAAGGATAACCTACGCAAATTTTACTGCCAAGTCCTAAAACATTTTTCACGTAGGTTAGAAAAGGATTTTCTTTGTAGGATTAATCAAAATACCGAATGAATAAATTCACTGTGAAGCTTTGATAGTTTCGTAAAATTGGCAAATATACCATTTATTAACGGTCCCGGGGTAAATATCGATAACCGCATGCGGTAGTGTTTTACGGATTCTTTTTCCCTTCAAAAATATTTCAAATACCTCATTTTTGTGTACGTCACAGAACGATAACAATTTTTATACGAAGAGATACCATCCAATTTCGCGTGTGTACAATGTGTATCAATATTTTGGTATATCAGTGGGAAAAAATCCTTTTTTTGACCCACTTCCAACGTTTTTCTTGCCGGAAATAACAGTTCGTCAAATGTAAAGTTGGACCATGAATTTTCGTCCAATATCGCCGTGTCTGTCAATTTCTTTTATATCCTATTCCGTCCTGACTGGTCCGCAAGATCCGAAGTGATTCAGAACGTTCGTAATTTCAATGAAAATTTGTCGAAGCCGACGTCCTGTTTACATCGTCCGCCGAATAATTTCCTAAACGTCTCAGGAAAGGCCGGAGGATGTCCTCGAAGTTCAGAAAAGTGTAAAAGTAAACTAGCCTTTCGGTTCCCAAGCATTATACAGGACACTTTTGAGAGTTTAAAGGTTCAAAGGCCTGCCAAAATCATCCCTTGCTCACTAAGGGATGACTACGAGGGTTAACCTCGGGCGGAGAAACTACTCGCGCAATACATGCTTAATGGCAGATGCTGAATTTTGTACGAGTCGAGCATCAATACTTTAATGAAAGGACCCACGAAATGCGTGTCACACCGAATGCGTAGATCGATATGAAACCTTCATGTACAGATCGTGCGTAAAAGTGGATGGAGAAATGTAATGTGAAAGCTCTAGGGGATGTAAAAGGAAATATTATTGAAAAAGAAAGTGCGCAATGAAAGTGAAAAGGAAGAAAGAAAAAAGTTATTAAAGAGGATAAAAAATATGAAAAAATTTTATTGAGCTTTCAGACATTTTTGAGACAGCTTATCTGGGAAGCCTGTAGGGAAGCTTTTTGTCATAATTGTGGCTGCGTTACAGCTCGCAGGCCGTCCTATGAGAATTACGTAAGAATCCTCAGGCAACGAATTCAACCGAGCTAACCGAAAAGATTGAAAATCCCAGAGCGCATTAATCCTGATTTGTTTGGCGTCGTTGGCGTCCTCCTTTTTTTTTACCTCTCAACGTCAACCTACGCATCGTCTTCTTGAACGAAGCACCCTCATTTCGTATCTGGACGAGTGATGCACTTTAATTAAATTACCCAAGATGCCATACAGTGAAATTCACTTTTTTCTTAATTTCAAATCGTCTTCATCCGAAATGCGCGAAAATATTTCTACTCGTGAGCCTAGACGCGTCGAAGTTAACGTCCATGTACCATAGAAATTGATCGCGACTGGTCCTTCTTCTCCGAGAAGCTCGTTTCTGGTCTGGAACAAAAAATAAGGATTCTGATCGGTTTACGAAAAAGGGTTTGAACAGTCCGTTCAGACTCGACGAATAGTGATTCTCCGATAAGAATGACTATTAGGGTCAGCAAGATAAGAGTCATTCGGCGGATGTCCCTCTTGAATCAAGGAAAGCTCGTTGAGGATTTGTCACTCGTGTAACGGCACGCAATAGATATTGTCAGGTATACGTATATCAAGACGTTACGTAAACAATATATTGAGAATCTGTTTTTGTCGTATTAACAGAGCGGAAAGTTAAAGAGGACGTCCTCCCGTTATAATGACAGGCGTAGCAGAAAAGAGGGAGCCTTGGTTGTAGCCCTTTAGTACGTACACTCGCCGCTACGCGGCGCCCAGCTATATTCAATATGGCCGCTACTCGTGAGGAAGTCAATCACGTATTGTGCTTCGTCGAATAAGTTTTTCGTTTCTGCGCGCTTGCATACTTCGTGGATTGACTGTAAGTAAATAAAAAGCATCCGCATGCGTATTACCGTACGTTTTTAATCTACGATTCTGCATTCGTTATTCCGTCATTGGCAGAACAACGTGAGTGCATTAGACCGGTGCGTTTTCATTCCGCGGATCAATAAAGTGACGGGGAGTGGTGGATGTTTGGTGCTAGACACATGTATACGTATATCTATATATACCATACGTACGTGACTCTCGAATAACCGGGAGGGAAATGGCATGTCCTTCTGTTTCTTCGTATCTGTCGCACTACTCTCGTTCAATTTTCATCACGTCACTCGATCTCTACTCAATCAATATTACTTGACAATCTTTTCTTGTTTATACACCTACACGCCGGTATTACGTCGTGTTTACGTTTTTCCTGCTTTCGCGCGTAAATTCAAATGAAATTTTACAAATTCAAATTGCTCGGGTTGGCTTTGTAAATGTAGTCATTGATTATGATGATATGTGATTGATTATGATAAACGAGTCATTCTAGTGGGAGCTTTGACAGTAAATAATCATTAATAACGAATCACATTTCGGAACGCACATATGTACTCTGTTGACTCGATTCTAATTAATCATTGCACGTGTAACGTACGTAACGCGATTTGAAATACATTTCTTTTCTTTCGAAAAATTCAAAATTGATAAACATAAGTATTTTCTGGATTCTATACTTGTAGCATACTTGCACGGGTCTGTTATGCGTGTTTTGAATATTTATATTACAGGATTGTTCAGGACAGGTGTTCCAACTGAAGTTGGCTTTACCACAGTAATCAAATGAATGAGCTAACTTCGGTCGGTACGTTTGGCCTTGAAATCCTGTATAGCCTGTATTAGTATCAAAGCTGCCACGTTGACTTCTCAGCTGTTTATGAATACACGTCGGCTATCCCTAAACCCAGTGGCCTATCTATGGGGACTACCGTCGCATAGGATGGCCTTTGTATACATAACCTCAAAATCGCCCTTTAGGAATCTATGTAAACTCGAAGCCGAGAGACCGGGTAATAAACTGGCGGTAATTTAGTCTGAAACTTTGCCAACCCCTTTTCGATTCTCTTAACGATTACCCACTGTTACACTCATGAATGGCGGACACTCATTCAGGAATAATGTAAGGGAGGGAAATATGAATTACCCCTTGACGGGGAGAGTTCATTGTAATTTTCGTACACACGTGTATCACGTATATACACGCCGTATAGGATATACGAAAGTCACATACGAGTGTTACGGTTTGAATAAAAATATTTCATATATGCGAGCAAGGGTGGTATCGACTTTTAGATCGATTTTTCTTAATATGTGAATTTATCGATTTTTTTTCGTTTACTGACTCTCTTTTTTTATATATGCAAGAAGAAAGAGTAAGAAAAATATAGGGTGGAAAAGAAAAGATCGCTTCGGGCCAGGGGTGGGTGAAGAAGATCTCGGTCGCCCGGAGACGTCTATTTTGTATGACGAGCATCCGTGCTAAAAGCACCAACAGTGTTTACGTGTGCGGGTCACACGGGGATTGGCGACCCTGAACATCAAGGGTTAAATTAACTCCGACAGGGAATGTCGTCGACGTGGCTTGGCTGCCGAAATGAAGATCAGACATCCTTTCCATTTAACCAAGATGCTGCGGAACTTGCAAATATAACTAGATTCTCGTACAGGATAAGATCAATAGCATTTTGAATATCTCCAGTTTACCTGAAATTACGAAATATCAGATTAGGAAATTAGACACGGACAGGTTCGTAATTGGATTTTCTAATACGCTTGTGACAAACGAGATTAAAGTTAGGTCGTCGCGTTTCAAAGGATTTTCGTCTTGTCACAAATTCGAATCGGTCCAAACTGGTGGGGGTTGAAATTTTGGATACATTTTTTTTAATTAGTCAAACCAATGACTTGATTTAATTTTTCTTTTGTGTGGTAAGGAATCTTTTCTTTTTTTCGAAAAATTTTTCAAAATTTCGATTAAGCAGTTTTTTGATCCACCCTTTGTTTTTCCACTTTGACCCCTCGTTTGTCTCTCGAAGGATTAACGCCCGTCTTATCCTCTCGGCTTAAAAGTCTTCTTTTATCTTTCTTATGTTTTCTACGTTTTTGTCTATCTAGAGCTTTTCGGTTTTATACCGCGAATCCTCCGTAAACTTGTAACTTGAACTTAAAAGGAATCCGGTATCTGTTGCGCAACGCTGCAACGTGTTTGGTTTGGCGATAGGATTTCTCATTGTTCAAATTTGACCCAAATAATCCTAGGCGAGGATGTACCACTTCAGGGATGCTGTAAGGCTTCTCTTCGTGACATCGAATGATAGCATATCGTAACCGATGACCAAACAGGCTGCCACGTATGCACACACACTCGCCCTTATGTCCCGAAAAGATATTGTATTGCAAGGGAGGGTGAATAATACCATCCCTATAATATCATCGTCTTAGTATCATCCCCCAAAATTCAATGCCCCCTCTCAAAATCCTGTGTCACAGTGCAGTACGCAAATTCGTATATTAGTATGAGGGGGGGGGGGGGGGAAATTTTTGTATTGCAAGGGAGGGTGAATAATACCATCCCTATAATATCATCGTCTTAGTATCATCCCCCAAAATTCAATGCCCCCTCTCAAAATCCTGTGTCACAGTGCAGTACGCAAATTCGTATATTAGTATGGGGGGGGGGGGGATGAAATTTGTGTACTTTGTAAAGGAAATACCCAAAAAGGGGTTGTCTGTGCTAGGGTGAGATTCACGTCAGACGGACGTTCATTCTTACATCCTCCCGTCAGGAAAAATCAACCCCTGGAGACTGCGAACCCTCCGTGCAGACGGGGAGGCATCCCTCGAAGAATCGAAAAGGACGACGTGGAAAATAAATCGAGCATCCACCCCCCGATACATTCCTTTCCCTTTTACTTTCTCCTTCATCCCTTAACATAATACCAACCCTTATCCCAATCCCTATGAATCCTTCTAAGACGTCGATTAATCACGCCGTAGGTTTGTACAATGATTTTGGCTCGATCCGTGCACACAACCACCCTTGGCAATAATAATTCTCAAGGGTCTCAACCCTTGGCTCCCAAGATACTTTGGAAAGTCGATGGCATTGTCTTCGACACGCTCGCGTAGATAACCGGTATCTATAAACTTGGTCTTATCGTTAGAACAATTATCGTGCGTCAGTACACAGGCAGCCATTTTATGATAATTTGATTTTGTTTACTCCCGTTATCGTTGTATCTGAGATCATTACAGAAACTCATTTGAGCTTGTTTCGGGGATTCCCCGAGGGTTTTCCACCGAGTTGAGCCTCGATCCTCACGTATCCCAAGTTAGTTGAGAGTTTACCCGCTAGATTCCCGCGAGAGACAATAAGGGGAATCCCCGTGGCCGAAATTTCTTGTTCCTTCGTTTATCTCGTGGCTGGTCGTACCTACGATCTTCGGAGCTTTGCCAACGTAAGCGTCCGGTACACGCGACAGTCTTTGACAGACATATTTATTGATCGGCTTCGAATAGCCTCGTGGTGGGTGCCAATCACTCCTGGAGTTAGTGAGTCTTCAGCATCCCTGTTCCGGGTGCTCTGACCTACATCCGATATGCTCCGGTCTGCGTGGGACTGCGCGTCTCGCACCTAGTCAAAATCCTTTTCATGTCACCGCTCGTGTTTCAAAGGAAAACTTTTTTCTTCGTTTTACGAAATACAAATTTTTATCTTTTTTCCGCCTTCAAAAGCAAAACAGGTTCAGGATACCCTAGGCATAATTTGAAAATTCCCTATTGGCTGATCTGATTTCTGAGCTTGTTTTTCGGGCTCGGTCGTCCTGATGATGTACAATGACTCTCTTAAAAGCCGCTTCGACGAGGCCGGAAGCTGGAAAGGTGGCCGAATAGGTGGGTGTTAGGGTGGGTCAGATAGATACCTAGACAGAGAGGGTGTAACTAGAAAGTAGGGCGAGGAGCTACCGAGCCCCAGGAAGGGGTGCACTGGCTGGGGCCACTGACACGAAGCCGTCCACTCCTGGGTGTGGGTATAGATTTTCACCCACCTGGCAACCTACTTTACCATCCACGTCGAATGCAACAAAGTAAAATTCCTGCAATCTGGCTATAGGAAAGGCTATTTAATTGAAGATCAAGCGATATGGATTAATTGACGTTGCGCAGCATCCGCGTGGATTCATTTTAATATAGGACTCCTATAATCAAGCTTTTTCATCTGACTCTCACGTTACCCTAAGACGTTATTAATATTGCGCTGGAATTCTCCGATTCTAGGAGGATCTCTTTACATTGAATTATTTACATTGACCTTTGTACTCTGGAGCAATGGTGTATTCTTGGATTTTATCTGTGGACGGACTTTCGTCTTTGAATATATATATATATATACGTATAAAAGCGAATTGTTCTTTTTTTTTTTAATTTCAATGGCGAACAATGGTTTATCCATGAGATTCTGAGAACATCTGTCTTCCAGGAGAGTATCGAGGTAGCATAGACGAGGAATCTGCTTGGTGCATCGTATATATGTATCGCAACTGGGTCAATAGGTCAGGATATTAACCTCTAGCCGTTTCTACTGCTAGGAGTATGCACCTGCTATGGAAGGATTACGTTTTAAACGAAGGCAATGATAAAATCATGAAAATATATTAATTATGCATCTGTGCCACGCTATCGATAGATAATCAATCACTGATACACATATTAGATACGCAGATAACATTGCTTATCAGATTACTAAACAGACTGATAATTTTCAATTGATATATATCTATATCATTCTAGACGATTCAATTCCGTTTAATTATTAGGACCAAATTTTGAATGAATTCATTCGCACTCTTGATCGATGTAATATTAATTTTTATTTTTCTATTGGGAAGATTTTGATATTGCATTGCGTAATTATTCGGCCCTCGTAATATACATTTGGCACGCGTAGCCACTTTGTAGCAGATTTTTTATTTTAACATAAAGCTACATTTCCCCTGGCGAAGCTCCGTCAGGCGGGAGGGCGAGAGGGGAAAGAGAAGGGAAGGATGTACGAAACAGTCTGAGATACGAAAAGACGCGAAGTGGTTAATAATTTGTTGTTTTTTTATTATTCAGTCACTCGCGAAAGCTCTTCGTTATTGCTTGATACATTATTCGAATCAATTTAAAAGACATTCAAGTTTCGCGTTCGCCCTTTATATTTCGTTGATTCGTAAATTTGTTGATTTAAAGAAAAAAAAAAAAAAAAAAGAATTGTTTCCAAGAATAACGCCAGTGTGAACGACGCTTTATGATTTAGCGTTTCTTAACGTCAAATGATAACCGCGCGAAGGAGCTTTTGCGAGGACTCGCCGGACAATTGTGAAATGCAGATAAACTCGGTTAGTAGGTCGACATGCAGATGGATTCTCGTCTCCATGGTAACGGTGAATTGAGCGGTTGGGAATACCATAAAAGTTATGGTAAAACTTAAACGTAACGGCGTCGTATAACAACGCGATACGATATCTCGTATCGGTATTATTAACTTATATCGCAATAGCGTCTCTCCGGCGGAGAAAAAAGTCGGTTTAAAAGTTCGTATAAGCCATTCGGCTTGGTTCGCAAAAGTTCGCGGATAGTTTAACGCGTTCGGATATTCACTGGTTAAGAGTGGATTTTTCCTGTAGGAGTCGAGGATAGGTGGAAATTGACAAAGTGGGATTTGTCGTACTTTTCTTTATGTAAAAGAGCTATGGAGGTAACGGAGTATAAGGATGGTCAATTTTGTAGGATATTTTGAAAAAAGAAAAAAAGAGAAAGTAAAATAAGAAAAATTCATAGGGAACATTCAAAGACTCCCGAATGTACCGTAAAATAGAATCGGCCTGGCAGAAATTTTCAAAAATTCTTTTATCATGCCGACCATCGACCGATTAACGTGTTCTCTTTTCTTTCTTTCCTCAGATTTTTCAATTAACCGAGGAGCCACTTTTATCTTTCTTCGACGACCTCGTAACGAAAAATCTGTCAAGCTGGCGCCCTTCAAGCTTCGCTTTTCGAAAATGTCGAAATCGCGCAACGGCGGCTCCGAGGGAAGTCGCAGCAATAGCGTCGAGTGCGACGAAGCCAATCAGCAACAGATCAATATTCAATCATTGGTCAATTCGGCGAGCAGACCGGAAACGCCTGGTACGGAGAATGACAGTTTGGCGGTAGGCGTCGACCGAATCGTAGCGGATTCAGCACCGCCGTCCTACGAGCACGCGATCGAGGAGGTAAATTACAGTGTAACATACATAAGTTAATTAAAAAATAATTAACCGATATAGATATCAAAATTATCAAATTTACACGTAATACATAATATACATAATAGCGAAGCACACCTCAACGCTAATTCATTCATTATTCTTCGAAGCGGATGGCGTCATTACGCAAATGCATAATGTGCTCCAATGCGGTACACCGCGCTATTCCCCATGAAATATTACAATTTCACGTTGAAAATTATGCAGGTTGCTTCAAATTAGACGCATCAGTTATTTTCCAGTACCGGAATACCAATTGTAATAACATCGACTAAAAGCGTTATTTATTATTCAGACAAGACTGGCGCAGTACGCATCGAATCCATTGGACCACAAGGGAGAGGACAGGGAGAAGGAGAAGAAGGAGGAGGAAGAAGAGGAGGACCAAGAGGAAGAAGGAGAGGACAGTAGAGGAGACGATAAGAAGCAAAGTGAAGAGGAACGAAATCCAGAAGGAGGTGGGCCTGGCGGTGGTGGTAATTCCCAGAGGAGGACTCCGGTAAAAGGGCCGGAAATACTTCACAAATCAAGCAAAGAATTGTACAGGGCTGTTGCCAAGCAATGGGGAATAACTTGCAAGATGAGTGATCGGTGCAGATGTTTCGATTGTCAGGTAGATCTCTTTGGATAGCTTTAAATGCTGATGAATAATATTAATTTGTTAAAGGATACGTATATAAGTATAACTGATTGTGTCTGATCCCTATTCATTTTATTTATCTCAGGGCCGTTATTTCGACTGTGATAACGAAAGAGACCAACAGCAGAAGAGCGACGGTGGCCTTGGTACGATTACACCTGTATATCTATCAGAAGTGATGCACGGTACAGCCTGCTTGCTATTGTAAGTAAGTAAAATAGAAATTAGTCGATATCAATGTCGTATGGCGTAATCGCACGAAGAACGAGAGTCTGAAGATGGGAATGAAAGAGAAGAAGAAACAAAGAAAAAGGAAGAGGAAGACAAAGGAAAGGAAGAAATTCGTAACGTACCTGGAAGTCATAGGGGGTTGGAAGGTAATGAAAGATATTCATGAAAAAGAAAGGACAGGATATGAATCAAGATTGTGATCGATTATCGGTATCTCGAAGGACCTGATACTATTATTCCGGAAGTGGGAACACAGTTATTGGAATAGAACGATCATAATGATCAGTGATGTAATAGTAACGTAATCACGGATTGACCAGGAGTTATCGTGTCTGTCTGCGGTACATAGAGATGATATTTTATCTAATGCATTAAACTTAAATGTTAAATGTGTTCTAGCTACAGTACGTACTTGATTCGGCATATCTGACTAAAGAAATTCCCTAGGATTACCACCGGTGAACCCCGAGTGGCGGTAAATGAATTTCCCTATGTTTCGAGGCTGTTGAAAAGTTAGTATGATACAGTTATTGGAGTCACAGTCAGTGTCTGGTATTGTCTGATTAAAATTTTTGGAGCTGATAAATGTCATGGTTTTTGTTTTCTAGTATTGTTGGACATTTTCTAATGCTATAAATTCCCTATAAGGCTCAAGTGAATGTATTGTTTAAATGGCTACCTTAAAAGCTGAACTCAAAACGATTGAAAGTATTGTCTGAGCGTCGTGTCGATCGTCTATTTCGTTGGACAGCTCGTAACATTCGTTATGTACTATTCTCGTCGCGATATGTAACAGATATATACGTAAGTATACAGGGTGTCAAATTTTAACTTAGACACTGCAATATCTCCAAAGCAAGGAGTTTTCGGAAAAAATGTTTGAGAAAAAATTGTTCGGGCTCGAAGAGGGCCATCTAGTGAGATACCTGAATTTTTGGCCTAGGGCCTGTGTTGGGTACTATGAGGCTCAAGTCCATTTTTTAAAATGAGAACCACTATTTTTTATTGCAAATTCGTGTTGTATAAAAAAATAAAAAAAGTTTTCTTCTCAATCATTTTTCGGAAAACTCTCTGCAATAGACGCAAAAGGCCCTCGAAGTTCAATTCTGTAATACGTTACAAATTTCGGTTTCTTGTTAGCGATAATAGTGACATGGACTGGTAATTTGATATTGCAGTGTCTACGTTAAAACGGGACACCCTGTATACTCAGTTTATAAATAGAGCAATTAATAAGAAGTTGCAATTTGAGTATGATAAAAAAAAATGGATGAAAATAAGTCGATAACTAGGGCGGGAATTTCAAAATTGCTAGATTAAAAAAAAATGATTTAACGAGGAAACAAGTGAAAAGATAAAATGGAGTCGCGTTGGCAGGCAACGATGTACCTGCGAAGTTATCTTACCACTCGTACGTAAATTCTTGTATGGATTAATAAGGGATGCTGCAAGATGCAGATCTGCATCCGAATGGACAAGTGCAATTGATTCGATCATACGCACAATATCTGTCGAGTATCTGTAAAACACTGTGTAATGGCTTCGATGACTTTTTGTAATGAGATACCGTGTATAGTATAATGTCTATACGTGTAATCATTAATGGATGTAATACGTACATTGGAAACACGCGAAATATTGTCATTATTTTATATAGCCGACGAACGTCACGGGCCGATAATTCTAAATGGCCTAAAACACGTGTTTGCTCTGACAACCGAAAACAAAAATTTGTTCCTGATAATAAGTAGCCTTTTCCAATATTCAATAATCGAGTCAATGATTAGACTACGATTGTGAGCATGGATCTCTATACATATAACCCTAGACATATGTATAGGTCTTGTATTACGAATTATTGCATATGGCCGAGAGGCGTTACTCGTGCAATTGAAATATCCAACTCGTATCTTCCTCCTGTGTACTGGAAAGCAGGTTAATTAAAAATATTAAAGTCAGGTATGAAAAGTATGGCCTCCAAAATGCGAATTTTCTTAGTAATGACAGAAGAATGGATGACGGGTGTATTTGATGATTGGAGCGTCGAAGGAGACAGTTGTACAGTTGGAATGAGAGAGAAAGCTATGGAATAAAAGGGGTGGAAGAGGGGTGGAAAATTGGGAACTGAGTATCGTTAAGAAAAATCTTCTACCGTGAGAGAGTCGAGTATTTCGACGTGGGAGAATCATAGCGAGTGTACCTAAAATATTTTTTGTACGATTGTGTTCTTCATTCATGCTTATGTTCAGTACGACTAGAATGATTCGTGGGACGATTACTTTGATCAATGACCATTATTTTCTCATGTAAGAAATGGCGTGAGTCACGTGATAAGAAAATAATTTTTGTTTAAATCTATTTTGGATCCCACTAGTTTATTGCGTTTCTTAAAATTATTGTATTTTATTTTGAGAAATTTTTAGGACACTCCTTTTCGAGTAACATAACGTCCATTATAAGTTGGACACTGCGAAGTCAACGAACTGCTAATCGACGCCGAATAAAGTGTTAAGTACGAAATGATGATAGGGTGAATAAAAAAAAGAAAAGAAAAAAAAAGGAAAAGAATAGTTGAACGTAATGACACAACCACCATATTTCACTCCTTATATAATATTTATATATATATACATATATATATTTGTATTAATAATAAATGGAGTGTATCGATTTTGTCCAGGTTACTCAAGTGAGTCCATTAATGAGTTTATAATTAATGGTATAGTCATTAGGCAATATCAATTGACTGTTTAGCGTGTAAGAATTCTCATAGGTTCTAGCATTGTATTATTCAAGAAGGACACTTGAGCTAGGGTCAAAATAATTAAGGCTCCTTCACAACTCGTCGTCAAGTTGCGTCTTATTAAGATAAGAATTTTCTTCGAGTTCGACCAAATAAGAGTCTGGCGATAGGCTAAGATCATAAATGCAAACGAAGAAAATTTTTTTATTCAACCCTCGATGACTAAACGATGAATTGTGAAGGGAATCGAATTCTGAAAAATTTACTACGGATAACTCGAATTTTTGATATTAAAAACTTTCTCCATGGACTTGTACGACACGAGACTGTTCTGCAGGTCGTTTCAAAATTGATCTATATATATATTTTTTTGTTTCTTGCTGCCACGTACTGGGACAAAGTAGTAGGCCCTATTTATTTTACTGATATGGGTTATCAATTACTAAAAATTAAAATTGTGGGAAATTGGCATCCCGTCACACATGATTATGTATATGCATAGATATTTGCACAAGGTCTTTGTCTGGGGATGCTACCGGGGGAACAGTGCTGGATCAATTAATTTGGTTTATACTTTTTTGACAGAATGTTCAGAAAGTACAGTCCACTCAGGAAAATATTACGCCGCTGTTCTTTCGTACAATCAAAGCCATCGATTTTCTATATGACAAGCCACAATTAGTCTATTATTCGTAAAAATTAAATTAAAATTTCAACCCATATCCCAAATGTAGCACCATCGGCGAAGTAGCCTTGCTTTTAACGTGGGTGATAATTACTATTCCTTATTGTGAGTCGAATTAGATAAAAGTATTAACATGAAAAATTGTCGTATCGCAAAAGGTTATGTTTAGTGTGAAACTCGATGTACTATGACGAAACAGCACTAATAAACATGGCTTAATAAAAATTGTCAGGACGCGCAAGTTTATATTTAAAAAGTAGAAGATACAAATAGAGCATTGATTTTTGCGGATTTATCGATACCTAGTATTTCCTGCTACTATACTTTATTTTCTTCCATTCCGATTTTTCTCTTGCTGAACAAAAATCAGTCATGGCGATCGCTTGAAATTAGGATTAGCATTCTTTAGTAGTAATGATTTAGTTCGAGCATTCTACCACTAGATGGGGCTGTCTTACTATGGCTGCTAATGGTGTCGGAATATAATCGTATCTTTCGCAGATGTACATGTTTATGATAGGAAGTTGAGGACGTTTGCAGACTACTAGATAATTTTGGAACGTGACCCTGTTTAGAAATACAGAATGTTTGAAGTGGAATCATCGATTTAGTTTGATAATGACAATGATGATAGTTTTCGTATTTGTGGAGTAATTTCAAAAATAGGGTTTTAATATTGGAAATGCACGTTTGCAGTGGATGCAGAGTACCTAAGGTAGGTGTCGCCAGTGTGGCTTCCTTTAGAAAAGGAGTTGCCAGGTGAGTTTTCTTCACCGGACGCGCGGCTCCCTTTAACAGACTCATCTTATTGGCGCATGATACAAATAGACGAGGTGTAGCCACTAGCGAACGTATTTTGGTCCGGGTCGCACAGGTCCAGTGACGTCACGTTCGAAGCTAACATGATGCCACTCAATGCCCCTACATGCAATAACGCCACCGTGACAGAACTCTCAATTTAAATGGTTCGCACAGAGATGAGTAGGGAGATGTACAACGCTACGGTTTTAGCAGAGGTTTAGGCGATATCAAAATCGTGGCGCTAAATCGTAGCAGCGAGTCTGGAAGTAGGATTTTAGTGATCATAGCCTCCGTCGACAATGCGAATCCCGTCGTAGCCGAGCTAA